GTATGTAAATAAGCATTCGTCAATAAATGAAATAAAATTTATAAGGTGTTACTTTTTACCACACTGTCTAATACACACACAAAATTTAGTTTTTTAGTATTTGGAGCAATTATTACTACAACGTAAACAGTCAATTAATGTAGTTTGAATACTGGCATCATATTAATTGGTCCTCTTTAACAAAAAATATTTAAACAGTTTTTTTTTATTTTTTTAATTAAATAAGCGAACTATATCAACAATATTAGTATCTGTACCCTTTGAAAATTTGTTACATTTTTAAAAATAAGCTAAAATGTCAATGTTCCATGGGTATAGTGATAAATGAGGTCTAAATTATAAGAAAATGCTGGGGGAAAAAAGAGATGGGTAAAAAATGGAACAATACAATTTGATAGACAATTACATTGTGCATCTGATTCACGTAAAATATATAGGATGTTCTGTCTAAATTAAACAAATTATTGCCGTTTAAAGCTAGTAATTACTTAATATAAATTTTTGGACACTCTGTATAAGGTAGTAAAATTTTTATTATTGCAACACAATATCTGATCAATAAATAATCTTCAGTAAATATTTAGTATTAAAAACTTTGATACCCTTGGAGAAATAAGGCCTTAAATTTTTTACTGCAATTTTATAAAATTGAAAATATTCCAAAAACCGTAAGGTTTAAGTGTGATAAACCTTAATCAAATTTACCTTTATTTCAATCGTAGAATCCAAAAATAGAATAATATACAGGGTGTTCCGTTTAAAAAAATACAACTATAATATTTTTTACTTATTTGGGACACTCTGTATCTTGTAAAAATATTTTTAAATTGTAGCTCTAATAGACCTTCAACGAACCCAAAACTTACAATTTGTAAAAATCTAATCGTTTAGCTACAATACTCCGTGTCGTATGTGGTGAACAACCCTGTATAAGTACCCAATTTGTAGATAAATAAAATCTGGATATATATGTATTTGAGTAAAATAGAAGGAACACACAGTCGCATAAAATCGACAGTTTTCCATAGTAAATATAGGATTTTTGGACGAAGGGACGCGACGAAGGAACGAAGTGAAGTAACGAAGTGTGAGTATGGGGTTTAAATGTTTTATAGTTTCAATAACTGCATTAACAAAAAACTAAAATACTTAAATATTATCACAAAGCCATGGTTTCAATATTAATTTAATGCGATGAACATGAACTGTAACCAGGACGGCGTGAAATACATAGGAAAAATTCCTGATTTCAGCCGTATACAGGGTGTCCCATTTTAGTTGAAATCATATGGTATCTCCGTTATTCATGAAGATAGAAGGGTGCGGTTTGGACAAACCTGTGCCACTTTTTTGTCAAACGAAAGATGCTGTCAACAAAATTTTCATAGCCCTCTTCGTTTCTGAGCTACAGGATCTTTTCGAAAATGTTGCAATTTTGGACGGCCCCCGTATCTACGTTATTATGGACGATATCGAGAAGGTAAAAACTGATTCTTGTAGAACTTTTTACGTAGAATACAGTGGCATAGTCTGTTTTTCTTTGAAAAAAATATTTTTGAAAATATGAACTAAAGTTATGTTTTTTCAAATGGAATACCCTGTATATTTATAAATCATATGATCCGTCTTGCTATGAGCTTCTTAAATATCACCCTATATTTATTTTCACTATTTACTGCAATATTTAAAATATATCATTTTCTTATTAGTAGGCCGTGATAAATAACAAAATCCCAAAATGGTATTTACTAAAATAGACATACACATATTAAAATTTTATTTGGAATCGATATATTTTACTTTTGAACTGTTACCACTGAATCTCTGAATATATTTTTCTCTTTTTTATATCAGAATTTATTTTAATGGGATGGGTTTACAAATATCTAAAAGCTTGCATTATTAAAGCATTTTCCAGGTGTTCGACATCGTATTAGTTGCCACGATATATTTCATATTTCAAAAATCCCCAAAATCAGAAATCGAGAACGGACAAATCCGGGAACCAGTGAGGCAATATGGGTACATTGGTTCCAATTCATTGATTTGAGAAATACTAATTTAACAAAATTCGAATATTTTCGTTATAAGTTAAGTTGTGAGGGGGAGCCCGCTCTTACTGAAAGTATATTTCACGTAAATAAGCTTAAGGAATATTTAAAAAATCCGATACGATAGCTTCCAAGATTTACAAATAGCGGTAGAGATTTAAGTTTCCCTAATATACAAAGAATTAATTAGTGACTCTCAAAATCAAAATAAAACAAAAGACAGCAGTATTACTTTTAAGAATTCTTTAGTTTTTTTTATTATCAATCATGGCCTACTAATAAATATGATCTTTTAATATGTTTTTTTTAAATATTGCAATAAATAATAAAAATATATATAGAGTGTTATATATTTTTGAGAAGCTTATGTCAAGCCAGATCAAATAATTTATAAATATACAGGGTGTTCCATTTAAGAAAACATAACTTTAGTTCATATCTTTAAAAATATTCTTTTCGTAGAATAACAGACTAAGCCACTGCATTTTACGTAAAAAGTTCTACAATAAACAGTTTTCACCGTTTCAATACCTTTAACAATAACAGAGAAACAGGGGGTGTCCCAAATTGCAAAATTTTCAAAAAGGCCCTGTAGCTCAGAAACGAAGAGGGCTATGAAAATTTTGTTTACTGCATCTTCCGTTTGACAAAAAAGTGGCACAGGTTTGTGCAAACCGCACCCTTCTATCTTCACGAATAACGGAGATACCGTACGATTTCAACCAAAATGGGACACGATGTACAGCGCTGCGGTCGGAATTTTTTGAAATCAACTGAAATGCACCAAGCCTATAAAATGTATGGACATTATTTAAAACATTTATAGTTGAGCTTGAAAACGATCGCATTTTCAAAGTTTTACCGAAGATTATATTTTATATCCAAAAAGTTGGTTATAAAATTAAAAAATACATCAAAAAAGTAAAATTGGAACAGAAATTCCCATATATTTTTTTTTTCTACAACATTAATTAATAGATAATGAAAATCGCTTCTAAACTTTTCCATTTTTAAACGGTATTGACGATATTTTTTATGCATGTGACTCGTAGACACGTCGTTCTATTTGAGCTATCAGCAAAATTTTCATGTCGACCCAAATTACTCATAAATATTCTATTCCGCTTAAAATTCGAAAGTGAATAGCATCTTTATGTATGAATGGAAGGACAGGCATTATTCCATCGATCGTATACCATTGAATTTGATAGAAGCTTTTGTTGAACTTGCATTGAATGTATAATTTTATGAGGTATAGACAAACTGCAACAATGAAAAGCTGTTTTAGTAAAACTGTTATATCGAACTTTCATTGTCTTCATTTTTACTGAATGGGGTCCTTGCATATGTCGGGTGTAATTAAAACACACTCACCGGCAAAAAAAACCTGCCACTAAAAACTAGTCCCAATTTCAGAGTTGGATTTCTCGCGAACCACTCATTAGATTTTGATGATTTTTTTTTAAATTGCAAATTAATTCATTCGTAACGGATGCTACGTCAAAAATTTTTATTCCGAATTTATTTTGAGCATATACAGGGCACAACAATAAAACGAAGTTTTTTTCTCGAACTTTGTGATACCCTGTAGGGTGTAGCAGCTGTAGTAGGTATTGCTAAATCAAATCACATTATAGCCTCATCTTTTGTGAGTACTTTGTTTTTTTAATCACGACATTATCTCTGTATGTATTGGAGATACACTGCTTTAAAACGAACGTCTCGGAAAAATGCTTTGCAGGAAAAAACGCGACCAAACCAATTCACATGTAAACGCGCAAACTGAAGACGTGTTCGACGATGTCTTGGAAGTAGCTGGGGTTCTATGGCAGGCGTCCTTGCAGACAAGCTGTTTTCTTTTAGTCTTCGTTGGATTGTTCTCTCACTGGCTTGAGTTCTACACACGGCTTGTAGCAGATGTTGATTCTGAAACGCTGGAATTCTACGATTTTTTTAAAGTATTCAGGACAATAAAGCAGTCATCAATTGCATTTGTTTTCTTCCGGAACCCACCGTAACCACCGTAATAACAAGGCTGGACAGCTGTGACGTAAAAATCTCGTGACGTCACCAACTGGAGGCCTAACTCTATTTATCAGCGTTGATAATTATTATATTTAAATATTTTCTCCTCAGCCATATTCCATATCCGGTCAATGAACGAACAAAACTCAGAAATTCCACAATTAAAAGAACGAATTGCACATTTCGATCCACATCAAAAATAACCAATTTAACTACGAAATTTTATCTGATAATTATAAAATTTCAATAACCAAAACAAAGGATAAATAAATCCAAAAACATCTGATTTGATCTGACAGTGACAAGTGACAAGTGATGACCAAAGATAAAGAGAGGTCGACAAAAATTCTAATGCTGGGCGGCCGTTTCCAGTGACAATATTGTTGAGCTTATGGAGTGTAGAGGTAGTTGAGCTGTAGCTTGTATAATATCGCGGTGTATATTCGGTTGGATAATGGTAAAATACTAAATAAAATAATATTTAACAATAAAATTATAGTAAACATGATGCAAAAATAATAGCTATTTGCGATATTTTATGAGCTAGCACACAGAGGTCGTTGCGAGGAAATTTGACTGTTACAACTTAAATCAAATGACTTAAGTCATTAAAATAATTTAAATTAAAAAAAAAATATGTAAGTAAGTTTTCTGTGAGCTTGCACTGTTCAGGAAAGTACTGCACTGTTCAGGAAAGCACTGTTCAGGAAATAAATAAATAAATATGGCAACTTGACATTTTTTACAACAGAGCTACCACCTGAATGACGTGCGTATTGCTTCAATCATGGCCAGTCATGGACAATCGAGTATAATAATAATAATGGAGCAGTATTATTCAAGAGGAGATATTGCACTACAATACTCGTTCAAAGTTTATTCTTCAAAAATCGGTTTAAAAAGTAAGCAAAATATAACACTTACCTTCCCAAGGTATGGGAACGACATTTCTTCTCAGCAATTTTCTTTCGCCACTGGGATACACATCGTCTTTAGAGAAATGATTCTCGCACAATCGTTTATGTATCAAGATAGATTCGTCCACGCCAAGTAAGTCAGTATTGCCACTGTTTTGTAACCATTGGAAAAGAATGTTGGGCTTCCTCACGGGAAATTTAAAAAAGGTCAATACATTATCTCTCTCTTTTCTTCTATTCTTGCATCCAGCATACGCACACTCCACAGACATGGTTGCACTAACACCGCTGCCTTAAATTTAAATATTTCTACTGTGAGTGTTGGTGACTACTGTTAATAAATTAATTGCTAAAATATTAATCATTAAATTATAAATAAAACGTAAAAATTTTAAAAAATTCTATAATAAATATATTGTTCCCCAATTTTACATTAAGATTCATCTCATAAATTCATCACAATCTGGCAGCGCTGTCGCCAACACTTTTTACTCAAAGTTGATCACGTGCATCGAAAATTGTTTTGCGATTACTCTATTCGTATTAAATAACAGTAATAACAGCATTCCGCAGTAATACCCTTACTTACCAAGTAGGTAAGTGATTTCTCTACGTCTCCGTCAGCTCTGAATGACTATGCGATGCGATGCGATCAAAACAACCCAAACTACCTACGGTACGGTGTTTACTTTTCGCCGTTCTGTAAACGAAAGGAAGCGCGAAGCACGCAGCGACGCAGAGCCAGCCAAAATCTCGGACAGCCGCGACGAGGCTGACGCCCGCTCCATCTCGGACATCGTCGGCACAACGAATTCGCCGAGGTTGCCGCTCTTACGAATTTATAAGAAATTGTCAGAAAAAAAACCAAAAATCTTTCTTTACCATGTGTATGGTTATATTGCTTGCAATTATTTCTTGCGAATTCGTAAGAGTTCGTACGAAAATATTATTGGAAAAGTAATAATTTCGAATTAGAATAAGCTTTCCAATATACAGGGTGTTTCAAAAAACATGTGCCATCTCTCGTGCGGTGATTCCTCACGTAAAAATAAGATTTATTTTTCATATCAACATAGATCCGATTCTGCTTTGTTTCGTAGCTATAGGGTGTTAAATCTTAATATTTTTTCGATTTATTTTAATTTTCTTTCAAGTACTTCTAGCGTTTCGAATGACATTTTGAGGGTAAAAGTGACTATAAATGCGACATATTTTAAAGCAAAAAAAGTGTCGACATATTCACCAGAGACGTGCATATGGGTTATCACTGGAATTTTTTTGTAAAAAATGCATGTACGCCACTGACTTATTTCTCTCTTGTTAGCGAAATAGTGTAAGCAGTTTAATGCCGATTAAAAGTTGTCGATGAGATAAACGCAATTTAGTAATGTGTCTTGTCAAAAAATAAGAAAAAAGTTCCTATAAACATGGGTATGGAAATGCATAGTTTTGGAGTTGCCGGATGTTAAATCTTAGTTTAGTAGTTTTGCATGAAATTGCTGTAGGCTAATCAAATTAATATAATAAATATTTAATAATAAATTAGTTAAAATATATAATTTATTAATTTTATTTCTATTTTAATTTTATTAATTGTGATTAATAAAATAGCGTTTATCTCATCAAGGAGGCCGAATTCGACAAAATATCAAGAGATAATTTCTAATTGGTATTAAACGGCCTACACAATTTTGATATCAAAAGAAAAAGAAGGCAGTGGCGCACATGTTTTAATATTGAAAAATTTTCCAGTGATAACCCATATGCACGTCCCTGATGAATTTATTGACACTTTTTAGCATTAAAATATGTAGCACTTATAGTAACTTTTACCCTCAAAATTTCATTCGAATCATTAAAAGTACTTGGAAGAAAATTATCATAAATGGAAATATTATTAAGACTTTAACACCCTGTAGCTACGAAACAAAGCAGAGTCGGACCAATGTTTTTTGAGACACCCTGTATAAGAAATATAAATGTAATAATTATAATTTTGAAGCGTAAAATTATCATAAAGAAGTTAAATAAGAATTTAAATAAGAATCTTAAAAGCACATAAAAATAAAATAACAAAAAATAAATTATTACAGAACAGAAATCCATAATATTTTAAATTACCTATTAGTATTTATTTGTTTCTTTTTCTATGTTATCTTAAAGCTGTAACATAAAAAATGTGAGGAAAATTCCTTGAAAAGTTGCTAAATGCTCATTTTAAAAATGGTAAAATATACAAGAATACATCAAGGCTAACGAAAGAAGAAAGACAAGTCAAACATGCTAAGTAATTATAGAAATTTTTAAGTTGTGTCTAACGAACACATATTATAACGATAACATAGAGACAGAAATGTACAAGCGACATTCAACATTTGTTTAGAAGATAAAGATAACGCTTATTCTTCATTCTGACAACTAAGAAAATGAAAAAGCTGTTAGGAATAACATGACACTAAATAATTTGAAGAGTCAATGTTAGTCATTAGGTAGATCCAACTTAAATAGTAATTAGTTATTTTTAGACGAGTGGATTAGTGCAGAAATATGTTTTTTTTCTTTTTTTTAGATTTTTCTTATTCTTTTACTTTAACATATAAAGTGACACTTTTCATAATCCTTTGATGTTTTGAAAAATGTTTTATTTCGCTAAGAAATGTAAAAAATCGCGCCTCTGCATTTGGTCCTAATCATGGCTGAGAAACTTAAATGGAAATGACAGTTCATTAAAAATAGTTTTTCCTCCAAGATGCAGAGGCGCAAAATATTAAAACTGTCAATATTAACAATGCAAATGTCAATATCTGACAATAATAAAATTTGATTTTTAACTGTCACTCAGAGACGCTTTTGTTGTGATTTTACGGTTTGATTTCGTTTGATTTGTCGAATTATTGTAAAATTAAATTCCTTCAGATTTTTTGCCAGTATTCTGTTTTAGACAATGTTTTTTAAAAATGGTGGGACAATTTGTGTTTTGTAATAACTTTTAATTATTTTTTATCATGGAGTTTAATTGTTGTACTCCTGGTTTCCGAAGGATACAATGGTAAGTAAATTAAACATATCTACTTACAGTTATAGATTTTTTAAATTAGTACTGCTAATAAATGCTACTTGCAGAGCAGTTATTTAAATTTTTTTACGGTGCATGTAAGGAATTAAGGACGCGCGTTTTATATTAGCATGATCAGCAGATGATTACATCTGATTTAATTTGTTTTTATTATTTCAGGTCCCAAACGGAAACAAACTGGGAATCTTGCCTACACCAAAATTATATACCTAGCCGTTTCCAATTCACTTCAAAGGGAGGAAAATTATGTAAAACTGCCTGCTATTTGCTGAAAACCGCCAAAGATTAAATTATAACTGTAACAACTTAATATATACTATTTCTAGTATTTTTAATATATTTTTTAATTAATATCCGACATATAAGAAAACTTTGTGTGCTTTTAATTCAGTTGATTTATCGTTTATAATATGTTCGACCTAATTAAAAGCACACAAAGTGTTCTTACATGTATGTCTAAATTTATTTTAAATTAACTAAAACAACCCCCCTTCCCCGCACCCTTCTCTTCCATTAGTATTTCTTCCTCTGTCTACCAGAGGCGCCCTTGTATAATAAAATTGAAATGTATTATAAGTTGCCTATCTATTTAATAGTATAAGTCTTTTATCTATGGTACTAATCAACAAACTTATCAAATAGTTTCTATTGTTTTTGTAATGTCACTGTCATTGAAAAGTCATATAATCACTCTTTGTTGGCAGTTATACTCCAGCGGAGAGAGTTTCAAGTTCCAAGTCAGGAAGTTATCGGCTATTGATGCTTTAAATGAAAACGCTAGAGATAAATTTCTGGCCTTAAAACCATTTCTTCTAGATTAACTGCTAACAAACAATAATACTAATCTTTTTCAATTACACTACTGAAACATTAAGCATTGACAATTGGTCTCCGTTGGGTTAACGCAACAGTGTTTACAAAAAAATAACTATTTTAATTTGTAGATTTTCTTACAGTGGCGAAATGCCCATAGGTCTTTTATGGAGATCCCTATCTTTCTTATTTTTCAAATTTTCTGTTTAGGTGCTGTAATACTCAGATGTTTATAAGGAACTGTTTCTTATGCTTGACTTACAAAATGACTTACTACAACTTAGAAATGAAAATATAAATGTCTTATAAAACTACTTAAACTAAGAAGATATCTTTCCATAGATAAGTTAAAATCTCTCGACTAGGACCTAGGCAGTTGGCCGAATGTTTCGCCTTCGGAAATTGTAATCCCTTAATCTGTGGAATTTATCATCCGCAACGCAAAGGACGGAAGACCCGTTCTCTTCATAAATTACAGCCCTGCCCTCCCCAGCTGCCAAAATCGACCAGTTCCGAACATAGTTTGGGCGGCGTTTTTCATGGTCATTATATTAATTCGCATCGGTAAAAGAACTGGCTAGAATTATTTACGGATTATCGCGCGGTAATAAAATTCTTCTGAATTTTAATAGGTCCATTTTCGGAAATTGGTACTATGGGATTGTTAATTAACCCTCTTGTAGCAAAGATAAATATTATTTGCAACCACATATGTAATACTGACATTACTGGCTTTCAAACAATTTGACAAAGTGTCAAATTATCTACATTTCTTTTCTCTTCCATTTCCCTCACTCAGTTTTTTCTATGCGTAGTTTTCATCTTCAGTAGCTCATCACCTCGACATGCCCCAGACACACCTACTATAAGCGCAGCCTAAAACAATGAAAAGAAATATTTAAAAACAGAAAAAAAAACATTTAAAAAAAGCCTTACTTTAATAGGAAGGAATTCTTGAGGTGCTTTCGTGAGAACATCCTCCAAGTTTTGCCTGGTAAAAATGCTAGACTTCTTTGGCTTAAAACCTACATTCTGGCGTTGTAAAAAAGCGACGAGTTTGTGATATTTTGATATGTCAGTCTTTTCTCTTAATTCTAGCATTGTCCGTATCATACTGTACGTAACCCAAAGAGTAGGTGGCTTTTTCTGCCTTGCCACGTCGCTAAAATATGCCATCAAGACTCTCTCCGTAGCAATATTATTAAAATTTCTTTCGGCACACCATTTTTCGTATACTTTCAATGCTATTTCTTATCGCCCCCTACGGATCCGGTGAACTATCCTGACACACGATTTTTGCATTTTCCTTTTTTTTTTATCAAAAAGTAACCATTTTTATTAATAGTTTTAAATAAAAATAAATGGAGATTGTGCACAGAATTTTAAAATATTTTAATTTAATTTTCGTAGTTGACACATATTTTACGTTATGGAGAATTTTAACACTTGATTTAACATGACAGCGACAAAAGGAAAAGCAATGTTGCCAGTTCCACTGAATTTTCTTTTTCGGTGGCTTTTGTTTCGCTCTTGTTTAAACCAACTCATCCCACCCAAACACAAACCAAAGAAATGACAGCGTGTTTTCTTTGCTTTGGTGGCTTCCAGCCAAAATCTATGCTTCCAGCTTGCAGCGTGTTTTCTTTGCTAGAGCTATAACTATAGCAATTGTCTCGCCGGCGCGGTAATTTAGCCAATTTGATAAACTAAAGTAATCTAATTCGTATTAAAAAAAAAATTAAAACCTATGACGTAATTTTTTTCCCTAAACAAAAAAGATGCATGAAATTCCGGATAATTTACTAGCTGATCTGAC